TACCAACCTATAGGTTTGTATATTTTACATTTATGATATAAAATCTTTATAAAGAGTATTATAATAGAGTATTATAGAATTGTGGAAGTTTTCTGTGATATGACTAGTCTAGACTAGTATATCGAGTGAGTATTACTACTTCAATTGGCACCTAATACCACGTTTACACTCAAAATCTGAACCTGTACCTGAGTTAACCTAACAATTGGCCACTCACAATGAATGCAATGTACTCGTATGTTGTCTTTAGTCAAAATTGGTCAATTATCAAAGTTAATACTGTATTTATACTATTGAGTATTAATCAACTGGGTTTTATTAAATTAAGTGGGTTAATCTTGTGAGTTTATATACCACTATATACTCTTAGAAGGATATAAACGTCACTCAGCTGACGTTTGTTTACTTATGCATAAACAACCAGGTGAGAATGTAAAAAATAGCCAACAAAAACCTAAGAGTAAATTTTTGTTCGAAAATAAGTGTTGATTCACAGTGGTGACCTTCTGAAACGAAAATAATGCATCTTCCGATGTATTATCATGGGCAAATAAAATTTAAAGTTATTTTTGTTGTTGTTCCAATACAAAATGTAAATACTCGTAATGTCGTTGCTGACGCATTTTTATGCATTCCGCATAAAAATAATTTAATCGGGATAGAATTCTGTATCTAAACGTTCTATAATGTTCAGTTTTACTGCGATTGATCAATTATCAGAGTAAACCCGTAAAAAGATTTGTATGTGAACGTACTTTAATACCAGCTGGTTTCCTTCGAATTGTCAAAATGCATTCTAATAGTGAATTAATCAAACAAATATTAGTCAAAATAGAGTACCTAGCCTCGATTTTACACAACCCATTGTTTGAACGAAAATAGATTTGCAATGCCAGACTCCAGACTATGGCACAATTAATAGTTGCTCCATTTGCTGCAGCTGATCATCTAGACGTGTTGTCAAAACGATTATTGTGAATGGAATCCATGATAAAATGATACAGGTAGGCGCATTTCAACAAAGCTGCTGGTACAACGAGCTGTCAAACCAATTTTGGAATTGAAGTTTTTAAATGAAAAATATCGAAATTGGTAAAAATTGTTGAAAAATGCATTTATGTTTGGAGATATTTTAAAGAAATTTTTACATATCAATGTTCGCGAGTGTTGATGCATCTACCTATATTCTTCTACCATGATGGAATCACAGACTGTCATCAAAAAGTCAGAAAATATGCAATATTAGTTGTGTTCCAGGATAAAAATGTTTCTACTACTTTTACCATTTTTGCACAAAAAGCCCATACTCCAAATATTTGCAAATAATTCACTTCTCTTTAAACTAAAATGGAGCTTTCTTCTACTATTTTGTATGTTTAAATTAGGAACTTTTAACGAATTGGTTTAAATTTGGTTTAAAATCTGCTAAAAAGTTAATTTGACATATTATTAAGTGCAATTCCACGTGATATCTGATGGTCTAATAAAACCAAATGCCTTGTTTTTTAAATCGTCGGCAATTTTCTTTTGAAAATCATGAAAAAAATCTGCAAACATACATATTTTACAACTCTGTTTTTTTATTTTTATCAGCTGTTTGATAGCGTTAGTATTGTTGACAATGTTGCTACTTTTCCGCACACTTCAAATAATTATCTTTCTGTGGGAGAATACAACGGAGATGATAGTCTGGCAGTTGATCTTTTGCGGCTTTTACCAAAGAAGTAGTAATGCTTGGGAACCCACGGTAGAATTAAGAAGGTAAAGTTTTATTTTAATTATTTCAAAATTATTCAATTGGCAACATCTCAATTTCAAAATGTATATTTCTAAATCCATTATACATACACAAATCAGAGATGGGAAACTGCTTGCTAGGCAGTGAAATTTGACAAGGTAAATTACAGAAAATGCAGAGATGGATATGCATATTTGAACCATGCGGGAACCAAGCTATTATGGGGAACTCAATATCGAGCATACCTTAAATCACTGTTTTATTTGCTGTGAAATCTGTAAATTGTCATTAGATTTAATTTTTTGCGGAAAGCTATGATCTGATCGCAAATTAGTAGGATAGGTAAACCTATCTAAAAACAGCTTCAACCGATAATGTAAATCAGAAAGTTGAGTAAAATACGACAATTTTTTGCAATAAAATGCAGAGGACAGCTTTTATCTATCGAAATCCAGCAAGAAAAGAGCTGTTTCTCATAGTCATATCCGCCTCATTTTGAAATTGTCGAGAGACCCAAAGAAAAATGTTAATATGTATATCTACAAATAAGTTATTTGTCGTAAATATAGAAGTTGCCCATTTCGTGTGATACATTTCAGTTGTGAAACACATGAGTATAGTACATACGTACTTTTTTGAACACAACGAGTGCTATTTTCATCGAAAAAAAATAATTTAATCATAAATGTTGTTTGTTGTGTGAAAATATATAAAATTAAATGTGCTATAGAAAATCATCCAAAAATTATTATTTTTTTTAGAAAATACAATATAATCACAATGTCACCAAAAGAAATAAAAACATATGCAAGTGTGTCGTATGAAAACACGTTTTAATGTCAACATTGTGTTACTCTTGTTTACTACTTCTATATCATTTGTATTGTGATAACATTAAAAATACAGTGATTTGACAGCTAGTTTGATGATCAGCTGTGATAAATTACGTATCCTTTTATTGTGACTTTTTGAACAGCTGGCGCGGTTAGGTATTGCGGCATGATAGGCCAATTGGAAATATAATTAAGCTTATAATTATACTTTTATTAAAAATAATATAATTTTTTTTAATAAAGTCAATTATGTTTCTACTGCCCAGTGCAAAGTTAATTCAAGTTTGAAATCGAAAAAATCTCAAAAATAGTGTTTTTATTTGTTTTGTAAAAAACGACCAAATACAACCCTGGCGCTAGCCCTACTAGTGTCAGAATCATTTTAGATTTTACTTAATTTATAAAATAAACAAAAGAGCTTGAAATTGAATGGGATGACTGGATTCTTTTCAGATATACTATCAAAATTGTTGTTGTATTCAACTCAACGACAAAACTGGTTAATTCCGACTATGCGTGCTAGGCATTTATTGAATTGGGAAATATTTTGTTTCTATTTTTTCTAAGCAATAAATTCACACACATTAGTCTAGTTTGACGGCAAATAAAATATTTATCTGGCCATTTATATTCTGATATATGGGGTGTGCGCGTTGGCTTGAGCCTTTGAACAAAAAAAGATTATTCTAAATATTTATATGGCTTAAAGCGTGGCACATTTTATATGTATATAGAAAGCTTTCAAAAGTAACCATGTATCTTTAAAGTATATTAAGTATATATACATACATCATGTAAGCATACATTTGGATCCGGTTTGGAATTTGCATAATACCCTACGCTCGCAAGAGAATGAGCACTTGTTTCTCAATATCAATTCTCTCGATAGAACATTTTTCGCCATACCATATTTAGTTATTTTCGGATTATATTCAGCATATTACCCATTAGATTTATATAACCCAGTTTGTAAACATAAACTTATAAAATCTCTTGAAGAACGTTTACACACAAATATCTATCTAGGTTAATCCAGAAAATTGACCAATCACAATAATTGCGACTATGAAAATCATACATTTTATGAATTGTGATTAGTCAATTATCAAGGCTAACCTAGGAACATTGTCAACATTGTCAACATTTTTGATTTTTTTTTCAAAAATCTGAGGTTGTTATGATATGCATGTTTCAACAATTTTTACATATTTGAATAATTTTTTATTCAAAACTTTCAATTTTAAAATAGATTTGACAGTTCACTGTCTAAGCAGCTGTGTCGATGCGACTACCTGTATTCTGCCGTGATTGTAGCATTGTAGAAGAATACAGGTAGATGCATCAACGCTTGGGAACATTGATATGTCAAAAAATTTTAAATGTCTTTTTTAATATAAGTAGATTTTTATTTGTTTTCTTATACGACGTCATTCGGAAGTTAATACAATACCCGTTTTTCAACAATTTTTACAAATTTAAATAATTTTTCATTCAACATTTTCAATTCCAAAATTGGTTTGACAGTTCATTGTCCCATATGTGTCGATGCGTCTACCTGTATTCTTCTACAATGGGAACATTGATATGTCTAAATTTTTTAAATATTTCCGATGCCAATCGGAGGTTATAATAATTTGCGTTTTCAACAATTTTTATAAAATTAAATAATTTTTCATTCAAAATTCCCAATTCTAAAATTGGTTTGACAGTTCATTGTCCCAGCAGCTGTGTGGAGCTGTGTACCTCTATTCTTCTACCATGATTGTAGTGTAGTGAACTATTGAGCATTGGGTGTGAGCTCCCCTAATAGAGATCATCTGTTAAGAGTATGTTTACACTACGCGAGTATCATCTGGTTTCGCTGACAAAAAAAAAGAGATAATTGAAGAGAAAACATAAAATTATATTTTACTAATCATTTCAATTGTTTTTCAACATGAATGTTGTCCAAAATTATTTATAAAGCGTATTGATACAAAAATTGTACACATAATGTTTGAACACTTATTTGTTGATTATTTAGAAGAATTAAAAGAAATTAGACTTGCAAGAGAGCTCTTGTTCTTGAACAGCTCTGGTTTACACATATGAAATTTAGTGGATTTAAACTGTCAATAAATGGTCAGTGGAATTATTTTGTCTGTAGAACACTTGGCTTAGAAGGCCCTCGAACAATAGAATACTTGAGGACTACAGACTACTTGGTTAATAATTCTCGTTAAATCCACAAACTCTAAAAGGACCTTCTATTTCTATTGTTATTTTATGGTTTCTTATTCTCCATCCCTGATCACATCATATATCACATTATTTTCAATAACTAGTGTCTTGACTAGTTTTCAAGAAAAAAAAAAATGTACGAAGTCAAAATCCGAATATGGCAACACTGACCCCCAAAACTTTTAATAATTCTGCTCATAGTTGCTTACCTCTTTTTTTATGGTTCGGTTTTGTCTCAAAAAACACGGAACTGAAGCGTTAAGAAATGTGATTCCACTTGAATGTAAACGAGACGACGCGGCAGTGAGTCAAAATAAGAATCCACGCTCTTCAGAACAGAAAGAAGAAAAGAAATCCCCCGAGTGTCACAATATTAGATGGCGAGCATAAATCAGAGGACAGACAGGCGTGTTGTTGTTTGTTAATCAATTTATCTTTTTGCAGTTGTTTTTGTTATTATTTTTATTGCTGTTGTTATTGTTGTTTATCTTTTGATACGGAAAACAAATGTTGCAATCAAATATCAACGATTATTTTGTTAGGTCGTTGTTTTGCTTTGCTTCTTCACACTTCTTAGCGAGCTTCGATGATTTTTCACAAATTTCTTTTGTTTTGAAGATTTCAAATTCTTTGGCGATTTTAAATCCATTTAAATTTCAATATTTCTCCTCGATTTTCTTCTAAACACCATTATTTATTTGTCATTATTTTTTTGTTTTTATTTTTTTTAAATTCGTTTTATTTTTTATGTTATTTCGATTTCGTTTGTTCAACAAAATTATTTGCTATTATTTTTTATTTTGGATTTTCTCAAGCAACGAAACTTTTGCAATTCGCATTCGTTTTTTGTGATTTTTTTGGTTTAAACACTGCCGTCTGCTAAGCTGGCCAAGTCAAGACTGATAGTTAAAAGTTGATCGCTGTATTGGTAACAAAACTCAAAATTGAGCCACAAAGCCCCCCATAGAAAAGCAGGCAAGCTGCCAACAACAAGCCAAAGTCGTCATACATGCTCACTCGCCATGCTTGCACACAACACTCGCTCCACAGCCAAGCTCAAGTCAAACAAACTTAATTGACAAGCTATGGATGTCAAACCATAATGCTATTGTTGTTGTAACTTAAAGTTTTTTTGGGGAATTTGTTGTTTCCCGAGTTGTGTTTTTTCGGTTTTGTCTTCACCTACCTCTTGCTGTTGAATTCCAACCGAAAAAACATGCCATTAAAAATGATCTTTTGGTCTACCATCGTCAACGCATTGTGGTTTAGCACAGCACTCAAGCATTCCTGGCTCTCTCAAGACATTGCTTGGCCGGTTTCTTGTGGCTCAAACTTGAAGACGTCATCAATATATTGAGTGTTGTCTTGGTTGAGTCTTTGTGTTGAGTGTTTTCTTTTGCGAGGTGCTCTATAGTCGGTGGTTGGGAATTTGGTTCATTTCCCATGTCATCTTCAGAAAGAAGACCTATGAAGCAGTGCTGAGCTAGATGGTGTTCTGGCGCAAGCTGCTAATTTCTCTTAGTTTTTGTTAAACATTCATTTAATTCTCATTAATAGGTGTGTCTGGTTACCCTAAAATTTGTAACAATTGTTACAAATTGTTACTGGAAGTCGTCTGTTAACCCGAAAGTTTTGCAAAAGAGAGCGATTGGAGAGAGAAATTTTGACAGTTCTTTCAGTGAGAGTTTGCAAATTCTTGCTGGACAAATTTCTTCTTGCAATCTCTTGCAACTCTTCCTCTTCTCATTCATCGACATTCAATCAGATGTTTTCTATTGTTTATTTATTTCTTTTTGTGATTTTAATTTGAAAATATTGTTTTGGAAAATATTGTATTGTATTGGAACAACTTTACAAAATGTGAAAAACATAAATATTAATATGTAATAAGAAAATAAAAGACTATTTCCAACATTTTTAGACAAATGTCATTAGCAACAGATTTAAATAATTCCGCGGAACACATCAAATCTATCTTCCTTTTATTGCTCATATTTCCTTTTTATTTATAAAACTTGTGAAATTGGTGGTGGTTCCTTTCGTTTAATTCTTTTAATGGAAGACAAATTGGTTTGTTTTGACAAATCAGCTGATTAGTTGCAAGCTTTTGCAGGAATACCGTCTGTTTACTTTTCGCAATTTCCTTGCAAAAGAGAATAAAACTACCTTACTCTCTCAGAAAGATGTTGCTGGACAATTCCTACAGGAAAAGTAACCAGACACAGCTAATCTGTCTGTCCATGTATTCTTGTGAGCAGGTCGCAATTATTTTCTGATTGAGATTAAATTTTCCAAGCAACATTTGTTTGGCCCAAGGACGAACCCTATTTATATTGGTGATAATCAGATCAGATTTAGATATAGCTCCCATATATCTACAACCGATTTCGGCCCATACCAATATTTTTATCTGTATTAGATGAAGTATGAAAATGGAATACTTTAGTCGCCTTTATCTGGTACTTCACCCATATGTTAACATTTTCTAAAAATGATCACATATCTCATATAAAGTGAAGGAGGTAACGAATATTGTCCAAACCTGGCACATCACAATATTTATATCATATTTATTTATTTCCGACCCGAAACGGACAATATTGGTCCATTTTTTCGGAACCTACTCTATAGAGGGTCCACAAACTCAATAATCATAATACAAGTCAAAATATATTTAAATAATGGAGCGTTGGTTGGGGGGTCGGCAAACCCGACTGATACTGTTTATCAATCGTCTACGCATTAGCCTTTTCGCTGCATTATTTTGGGCTATTATTTGCATTCTCTTTTGTAAGTATTCCATGGCAGAAGAATACAGGTGGATGCATCAACGCTTGGGAACATTGATATGTCAAAATTTTCCTTCAAAAATAAGTAGATTTATATATGTTTTCCTACACGACGCCAATCGGAAGTTGTTATAACATGCATTTTTTTTAATTTTTACAAATTTGGATAATTTTTCATTCAAAAATGTCGATTCAAAAATTGGTTTGATGTCCGTCTGTCTGTCTGTCTGTCTGTTGAAATCACGATACAACCCACATTATTTGACGTAGAGCGCCAAAAGCAGAGCTATTTGCATTGTGTCTAGGATGGTTGGTATTGAAAATAAGATATATCGGTCCACGTTCTGGTATAGTCCCCATATAACGGTACCTCCCGATATTCGGTATTTTGATGATTTATGCCACATTTTTTCGCGGATTTGTCTGGAAATTGGTATTTGTAGGTCATAACGGGTCCCTGAGCGTGTGGCAAAACATTGCATGTATAGGTTCACGTTGTGGTATAGCCCCCATATAAAGGTACCTCCCGATATTCGGTATTTTAGTTTTTTTTTTGCCACATTTTTTCACGGATTTGTCTAAAAATTGGTATTTGTGGGTCATAATGGTTTCCAGCTCCGGTGGCGAAACATTGCATGTATGGGTCCATGATTTGGTATAGCCCCCATATAACGGTACCTCCCGATATTCGGTAATTTGATGATTTTTGCAACCCTTTTTCACGGATTTGTCTGAAAATTGGTATTTGTTGGTCATAATGGGTTCCAGCTCCGGTGGCGAAACATTGCATGTAAGGGTCCATGTTTTGCTATAGCCCCCATATAACAGTACCTCCCGATATTCGATATATTTATGGTTTTTGCCACATTTTTTCACTGATTTGTCTAAAAATTGGTATTTGTGGGTCATAATGGGTCCTAGTTCGTGTAGCGAAACATTATAATTATAGGTCCACGTTTTGGTATAGCCCCCATATAACGATACCTCCCGATATTCGGCATTTTAATGGTTTTTGCCGCATTTCTTCTAATGTTTCTTTTACCCTAAGGTGGAGGGTATTAAAAGTTTAGCCCGGCCGAACTTAATGTTTTTTTACTTGTTTATCCTTCTATAGGTGTATACATGGCAGAGAAATACAGGTAGTCGCATCGACACAGCTGCTGGGACAATTAACTGTCAAACCGATTTTGGAATATAAAATGTTGAATGAAAAATTATTGAAATTTGTAAAAATTTTTGAAAAAGGCATATTATTATAACTTCCAATTGAGGTCGTATAAGAATACATATAAAAATCTACTTATATTTGAAAAAAATATTTTAAAATTGTTGACATATCAATGTTCCCAAGCGTTGATGCATCTGCCTATATTCTTCTACCATGGGTGTATGTAAACACTCAAAGTTAATCCTGATATAAATGATCCTGATATAAACTCGCTATTATAAATCAACGATTCCGTTACAACTATTCAAACTCGCAATGCATCTTCAAAGTACACACGTGTCATAGCTTCGTTTCATTTCATTCTATGTTGTAATTGTCTCGTGGCAAGAAAAATGTAGGTCATTAAAGCCCATTAAAAACAAATTCATACCTACCTACCTACATACGTACATACATACATAGACACATTCGTATTTTTTCCCCAATGCAATTCATTGATTGTTTGGCAATTACAACATTTACGAAGATGTAATTAACGGCCATTGTCCGGTGGTAATTGAATTTGCTGGTGACCGAATCGAAAGGTAAGAAAATTGAGAAAAAAAGAAACGCGACACCGGTGATGGGGTTCAACCTTGTCTTGGCCATTGATTGTAATAATCAAACATTGGTTCAATTCAATTAATTGAACATTTGTTGTAAAGAAATAGCGAAGCTATATTTATTTTATTGAATTTTCAATTCGATTTCAAAATTTTGAGAAACAAAATATATACTAAACAAAGGTTCATAGATTCACACACATACACACACACACACACACTACGGGTAAAAAAAGGTTTGACCAACCAAAAACCCATAGTCATCATCAATTCTCTGGCAAGCGAGAAAGAAAAAAACGGAGAAGAAAAATATATTGATTTTTTTGTAGTCGTCACCGTCTCGCCACACGATGATCATCAAATCTTATATAATGGCACATGAAACGTAGACGCTTGTTCGAAACACTCGAACGCTTTTTTGGGTTATTTTTGCTTGTTGTCTGGTTGCTCGTGGTGTGTGTCTTTGGCTACTCGACAACTCGTTCGGTTACAAACTAAGTCAAGGTTGTCCTTGATCAATCAGGTGAATGCCCTAAACATTATCCCCATAGCATTGGCTATGGAAACACCTGATCAACACCACCACCACCACTATTATCGTCTTTGATAACACGGAGATCTTAAAGACAACAATTTCAATACAAATATTCGAAATAATCCAACAGTTCATCGCAAAGCAGTACTCATTGTAATGTTGTATGTAAATAAGGTATTCATCTTGAGGAGAAACTGATATATTTGTGTAAATGCCGATTAAAATTTTATTTCCTAGATTGATTTGTCTACATAAATCACTCAGGTGAAATGTCATTGAGATTATTAGGTGTGAGACTTATACACCTGTAGTGGTCATATATCGGATTGTCTCCCCTTTCATAGTAGCATAAGGTTTCATTTATTCGACATGTGTTTCTTTAGCTAAAACAATGGCCAAATTTTGAGTGGTTAGGCTAGGAATGCAAGTAATTCATCTCTGTAATATTCTTTTAAATATCTGTAGGTACACTGAGAGAAGGGCAATGGCTCGCGGATTTCTATGGGACTCTTCTTATTCCAGCACGAAATAAAATCACTGCGGAAGCCTCCCGGAATGCAATTTTTTGGCTGTATCGAGTACCGTACATAATCGATAGGAAAATATGACTAAAACTCTCACAATCAAAGGGTATCGTTATATAAGGGCTGTACAGATTTTTATACCCTACACCACATAGTGGTAAGGGTATTATGCCTTTGTGCATTTGTTTGTAACATGGAGAAGGAAGCGAGATAGACCCATATTTACTTTTGAGGATCTCTATAGAATCACTTTCTGAGTTGATTTATGCATGTCAGTCCGTTTGTCCGTCTGTCCA